GGTGTAGGTTTTTTTTAACGAGGGTGTAGAATAAAATATTGGAAAGATGCAATTGGAAAAAAAAAGAAAGAATAAATGAAAGAAAAAAAATAATATCGTATGTTATATATATATATATATATATGTACATGTATATATGTACGTAGAAAACATTGGGGAAATGTTTACTTTCGTTTGAAATCGCGAAACGAACAAAATCCGATTCTATCGTTTTCTCCAATCCAATAATCCGCTTCGATGCATGATCCTTTCTCACGTTAGTCTTGATTTTTACCTTTCCATGGAATATGTTCTCAATGTGCCGTCATCTTCTTATTGGATTCTTCCTTTTATAAACTCAAATATGTTCTTATAAAACTGTCACGTATTCTTTATATATATATATATATATATATATGTATAGATATCCTTTTTTTTATTTACAATTTTCCATTTCAATTATTTCTTTTATCGTAGATTATTTAATTTTTTTTTTGTAAATTTTAATTACATTTATTCATTGCACTTCTTTGAATGCAATTCTAATTTATTCGAATTATTTTAAGATGCAATTGATATATTAGATTTGAAAAATATCCTGAAAGTTGTAGAATTGAATAAAAATGCATCAATTAAGAATTTATTTACCAAATCAATTTATTTGAACATGTTTAAGATGCAATTGATATTTTAGATTTGAAAAGTATCCTAAAAATTGTAGAATTGAATAAAAGTGCATCAATTAAGAATTTATTTACCAAATCAATTTATTTGAACATTTTAAAGATGCAATTGATATTTTAAATTTGAAAAATATCCTAAAAATTGTTGAATTTAATAAAAATGCATTCATTAAGAATTTATTAACCAAATCAATTTATTTGAACATGTTTAAGATGCAATTGATATCTTAGATTTCCAAAGTATCCTAAAAATTGTTGAATTGAAAAAATAAAATGCATCGATTAAGAATTTATTAACCAAATAAATTTATTTAAACTCTTTCAAGATGCAATTGATATTTTAGATTTTCAAAGTATCCTAAAAATAGTAGTATTGAATAAAAATGCATCCATTAAGAATTTATTAACCAAATAAATTTATTTAAACTCTTTCAAGATGCAATTGATATTTTAGATTTTCAAAGTATCCTAAAAATTGTAAAATTAAAAANTTTGTTATTTAGTATTAGTACTAGTTTCTATTTGTTATAAGTAATTATTAAATTAATTAACCTGTATTACAAGTTATTAATTTGGTATTAGTATTAGTTATCATTTATCATAATTATCAATTAATTTAATTAACTTTTATTAAAAGTTAATGTAATCTGTTTATCTAAAATTAAATTATTATTTCAGATCATTAAAGTTAAATAACATAAGCATGAATAATAAAATAGATTGAGGGTTAAATAATAATCTTGTTGATTTCAGAGAGATTTTATTTTGTTGTTGTCGATAGTATTGAATAGTAAGTGTAAGAATGTGTTATGTAGGTGTAAGAAAACATATAAAACAGCTTGAAAGAAAGTCTTTAAAATTCTTTTTCACTGGATAATACTTCTCAAACAGTTTTAAGTATTTGCTAGTCGTAATCGTTTCCAAGATTAAAACGCAACGCTTACGAAATACTTTTCCGACTTGGTTATTCCTATTTCACAATCTCGAATTCCTTTTGTAAGCTTTTTAATTGAGGTCTTACCTTTTTTTGTCTTTTATTTTCCCTTTTCCTCAATCTTTTTCTGAATACGGTGAATATTAATACATTGTGTAACGATGAATACAACGTTTAAAACATTTCATATAATTTTTTTTTTTTTTTTTTTTTTTTTAGTACGTTTTATATTTACTTTGTAATTTGGTATTCAACTTTTTTACTCATCGGCAAAAAATAAAGCTGTTAATACTGCGTGAAACATTGATTCAATGTAATTTCATCTTTTTTGTTTTTTTTTTTTTTGTATAAATCTGACGCTCAATATCATTTTATTTATTATGATTATTTTTGTTCATAATTTTATTTATTCGTTTTTCTATCGAATGAAGAAAAAAAAAAAAAACATTAAATGAAAGAAAATTGCATCTTATTGAAGATGCAAATGAATCAAGCAGAAACAAAAATAAAACAAAATAATATAAATAAATAACGTAGGAAAGAATTTAATAAATAAAAATATCCGTAAAAGAATTTCATAGACGATTATTTTACAAACGAAAATATTTCGTTGTTGATTGGACAGAAACATGCAATAAATCTTTTCATTTTTTTTCTTTTTCTTCTTCTTTTTTCTTTTACCATCAATTAGAGAAAGGTACAGAGAAACATATGTATGAACGTAAAAACGCAAAATACGGTTTCAAAAGAAAAAATAAGAAAGGAGGAGGAGTAGACAGACGAATGAGTATATATATATATGTGTATGCTTTTTCCTCTTGAAAGGTTAAAAATTGTTTTTGTATGTTGGGTACGTGTAAAAGAGGATCGAAGCGAGCATCAACGAGTAAAGAAAAGAAGCTTTAAAAAAAGGAACTTGTGTTATATAAAAGATTCTTACATTTTATGACGAAGAAAATGTTACCTCGTTGTTATACAATCATCGATAAAAAAAAAAAAAAAAAAAAACAAACCCTTTCATCAATAACAATTTTCTAATCTTTTATTATTTTTACAACGATCTATAAAAGTTTAACATCGCATAAATTAAATTTTTTTAAAATTTATTTTTCACTTAAGATACTAAATATTATTTTAAAAATATTTACAACTAATTAAAACATTAAAATTATATTTTTATAATTATTTGTAAAATTATTACGCCTGTAAGAATGCAACCCTCCAGACATACTTTGAAAATATTGCTTGCGAGTGCCATCTGCTGGGACGTAATTTTTTTTCAGTCAAAACTGTTTATACACGTATGTATGACGGGTTGCCTATCTTTCGGGCAGAAACAAATTCCGTCCCGACAGATGACGCTCGCAAGCAACATTTTCAAAGCGTGTCTGGAGGGTTGCATTCATACAGGCTCACGCGCATTTTTATAATAATTACAAAGAAAGTGAATAATAAAACACTTTGAAAAAATGTTTATAGAATAAATCTAATTTGTTTTTCTTTTCTATTTCAGGTGACGGTACTGTAAGTTTTGAAGAATTCGTGGAGATCGTCAGCAATATCGGTGACGAAAATTCCGGAACTTCTGTAGATCAGGATCAAGAGGAACAAGAATTACGAGATGCATTTCGTGTAAGTTTTTATTAAATTAATTAACCAGAAAAAAAATAATTTCACAAAGTTCATAGGAAGAAGTAGCAGTGTACGTGTAAAGTCATCTACTGTAAAGATTATAGAAAGTGTTTGTGTAAAATGTTGATTCTTTTATAGGTAAACGGATAGTAGATGGTTGTAGTTTGAAAAGGGTAGGAAAAAGGGAGAAATATTCACTTGTGTTTCCTTCCTTTTTCCTTTTCATACTTCTTTTCCTTTCCCTTTGCTTTTCCTTTACGTGTCTGGGCTAGGGTATAAGATGCAACGCTTTCGTTCGAAAAGAAAAACGCGGAAATTCAGCGAAGTGCACGACGTATACGCCTCATTGAATGTTTTGCAACCACATCATTCATCGGTTTTCTATAACTCAGGTATTTCCTTCTTCTCTTTCGACCACAGATGCTACCAATTTTCCTATCTCAAATAAAACGTGTTCGTGCCAATGGCTTATTGTCCGATCTTATTGATCGATACATTTTCAAACCCATTTCTAAAATGTACACTTTATTTTTTCTATTATTTTTATCACATAGATCGTACAATCTATTACTGATTTGTAAGATTTATTTCAATATTTTTAATGATATGTCTTTTAACGATTATTATTTTCATAATTGACTTTTCATTATCATTAATATCGAAATTTACATGTTTGATTTCTGTTTCCTTTTTTTTTTTTTTATATTTTTTATTTAAAATGATATTTTAACTCATGCATCGCATCAAATAATTTCTCTTCATTTCCAATAAATTCTTTGACATATTATTCCATTTTTCTTATTTACTTAATTAATTTATTCATAAAATAACATTTTTCACAATTCTTATCATCAATCCTGCATCGATTATATTGCACTCATCAGCATTTGTATTTTATTTTATGCATTAATTTCTCATTAATAATATATATATATATAACGAGTAATTTCTAGAAAAGCTCGTAATGATTTAAAAAGAGATATTTAAATACATATAGAAAATGTTGAAAAATGTCTATTATAATTATTATAGGAAAATTGAATAATGTTGCTTATTAAATTGACCCTTTAAATATAGTTTAAAAAAGATTTCTTTTCTTACGGGGGACAGTCTAATAAAAAAGATCAGAAAGATAATAAAAAATGGACTTTAATCTCTTATTGTGTTGCTTCTCAGTATAATGTCACCAAAGAAAGGGGGTGTGGGTGTGGGTTTGGGTGGTGTGTATATTTTCTAACGTTAACGTAAACCTCATGAGTTTTATCTGATTTTTTCTTGACTTTAAAATGCACGTTGATATGAATAAAAAAAAAAAAAAAAGAAGAAAGTTAAGGAAAAGAATATGCACACGATAATGGTAGTTGTTGGTTGTTGTGAGATGAAAACCATTCCTTCTTTTTCTTTTTAAGATCCATGTTAAATTGCATAGAAACTGACGCGTGAACAGGGGTGAGAAACCTTGGGAAGTATTAAAATAATAATTAAAATAACTAATGAATTAAATTTGTATAAAAACATTTTGATTGGATACTATACATTTCACGAATAATAATTAGATTAATATTTATTTTTTTTATTTTTTTTTTTTTACCCAAGTAAGGACTTACCAAGACTACGGACTTATCGGAAAGACCCTACGGACTTATCGGAAATTTTTTTATATAATTTTTATATAATTTTATTATTATTTTTGAATATAATTTACAAATATAATTTTTTAATATAGCTTATTAATATAATTTATAAATATTAAATTTAATATATAATATATAATAGTTATATATATATATATATTATATATTTATTTGTCATTCTCTGATTTATTATTATTTTTATTTTTATTGTTATTTTTATTGGTTCTATTACTATAAAGTAAAAGTGTGAAATGTGTTGAATGTAGAGACGTTCGTTAGTTTAAGTGAAAAAGGTCGTAACGTTGGAACACATTGCTGAAACGAAAGGTAAAACGTCGAAACTATTTCTATGGGAAGTTCGTTTCCTTCTTTTGTCTATGGTATGAATTGGTAAAATCAACTGACTTCTACATTGATTTCTTTATATCGTTGTGATCCACCCCCTCATGAAGTTAACACTCACGTATAGAGGAAGATATTTTTGTTTTTGTAGTTTTATCTTATGATGTTTTCTTTTTTTTCAAAGTTACGTTAAGAATGTTCTTTTTTTTTTCTTTTATCCAAAGCCATAGTTTCGTCAAGATTTCTTTTTAATCAAAGTTTGATTGCATCTGAGAGTTGTTTTTCATTCTTTATCCATAAATATTTGTAGAAATTAATTTTTGCAATTATTCTTTAGTTGTTTTAAGATACTGTTCGATATTATTTCGTTTTAATTTTCTAACATAAACCATGCCAATATTAAATGACACTTAAATAAGTTTGAAAATACTCTGTTTAAGTAATTTCATTTAAAAACAAAGATATATATATATATATATATAAGGAAAAGTAGAAGAAGAATAAGTAGAATAAAAGATAATAAAAAGATAAAGAAGTGTATGCCTTGTTTTAAAGTAAAAACCACGAACTAAGAGATTGAAGAATGAAAAGATAAGAAAAAAAAAAAAGAAAGATAAAAAGAAAGAGTAGAAAACTTTTCAAAGTGTGTCTTGTCGTCGTCTGTTGAAAAAAATTACGGAAGCTTTGTTTAAAAAAAAAAAAAAAAACCTTTGCCAATGCATTTTTCATATCCGTGACTTTTGAAACATAAGCTTGAAAAATTAGTATTAATAAAAAGCTTTTTTTTAATGTAAAACTTTATACAGTCTACGCTGTAAAAAAAAAAAAAATAAAAAAAAGGAGGAAAAAACCAAAAAATTTCGTTTGCAACAAATCCTTGCCATATTTTCTTCTTTTTTTTTTGTTTTTGTTTTTAGTTTAAAATCGAATTGTTAAGTTAACAAGTTAACAAGTATCATGCAAAACTAGTTGCATAAATAGAATAAGAAGAAAATGTTGTTGTAGTGACGTAAGAACTAGGATAAAAAAAAAAGGAAGGGTGTTGAGGTTCTCAAAAGTTTTGCCATTGGTCTTTTTGATACTTAACGTTGAACGTTTGCAATATCGAAAGCTTGGATCAAAACTCAAACTTTTATCTTTTTTTATCCTCCCCCTTTTTTAAAGTTTCTTGCCAGTCATTCCAAAAGGATCAACCTTTTCTCGTTTTCTTTTTTTTTTTCCTTATACCAACCTACTTTTCACACCTTTCCTACAATTTCTCTTTCTTATTCAACTTTTCATGGATTAAAGAAGATGAAGATCAACATTTTACGCGCATTCGAATACGAATTTAATTTAAATTGGTTTTTTATTTAAATTATATACAACACACAAATTGATTATTTATTACATTAGTATATTCTTTTTCTTCGTATACTTTATTTTGTATTTTTTATATATATATATATTTTTTTTTTTCCTTTGAAAAATTGGATATGGAAAATCATAAAGATTAAAATTTGTTAATTCGCTTTAAAAGCTCAAAACAGTGTCAACTTGATTATTTACAATGTTTTTATATATATATATTTTTTTTTTATACTTTGTTTTGTATTTTTTAACATATTTTTTATCGTTTGGAAAAATTTGCAATGGAAAACCATGAAGATTAAAATTTGTCGAATCACTTTAAGCTCAAGACTTTTCAACCCACTAGATATATATTTCATTTTGTTCGATTTGTTCGATAAGGTTAAATATTGTTTGCTCAATTTATGATCCTAAAGGACTCCTATAACCGTGTTGAATTTAAACGAACTAGGTTTTCTGTCAACTTACTTAACTTAGTGCTTTTCCTTGTATAGACAAATCAAAGATTCGTATGCACGTTTGCATTACGACTTGTAAAGTTTAAATAGTACAACTAAAATTACATAAAGTTATCCAACCACGTAACTAGTTATTGTTACTATTGTTACTTAGTTTAAACTTTATTTATCTTATTTCGAAACTAAAACTATCTAAGACGACACGAAAGAGATATTCCGAACGAATGAACACAACCAATTTATTATAATAAAACAACTATATATAGAATGATATATATTATAAAATAAAAATACAATATAAATTTATATTATTATTTAATTTATTTTATAATATTGTATTATATAATATACAATAATATAATATTATAATATTATATAAAAAGAAAAATATTTAAAAATATAATAAAATATAAAAATAAAAATATAATATTATATTTTATAATATTGTAATTTATTATATAATATTAATTAATTTATAATATTTATATTATTATTATATTATTATTATTATTTATAATATTATTTATATTATTATATATAATATTATAATATTATTATTATTATTATTATTATTATTATTATTATTAT